GTGGTAATTGGATAAACATATTCTTTTATCAGATGCTTCTGTCAGCTTCAAAGAAAAGAGAGTATTATGATCCGACTGCAATTTATCTTGAAAATATTGGTTCTTGTGAACAAATATTACTGTGTAACTAGATAAGATTTCAGCTGATCGAAAATAACAGGTCTTCGTCACAGTTATAAAAATTCTGTATCTTTCATCAGCTGTAGGTCTTTTTCCAGTGGAATTTCTAAATGTTATTTTTCGATAGTATACATTTTCTCTTGACATACGCGCTTACAATTTAAAGATATTTTAATTAATTTGTTTGCATAATCAAAAGTAATATTATCTCTTTCGTTAGTAAGTTCATCGGAATGAAAAATACAATAGGTTAGCCCTACTAAGTTAATATCTGAAAAGATAAGATTACTGTTTAATAAATTTTACAACCATTATCAAATGTAATGGATAGTTGTTTCTATAATCTCAAAATTTTTCATTTCTTCATCCTTTTTAGATTTGATATTAGAAAATCTTACAGAAACTTCCTGGAATTTGTTTCATATATTCTACTACACGCTCAACATTATGTCGATAGTTTCTACACTCGTTTTTGTTCAGAGCGTAATCATTCGTTACGGCCTTTCCACAATGCTTGCCTTTGGAAATCTAGGAAACCTTTTGCTCATCTGGATTTATTTACAAAAAGAAAACATTGGACAAGTTCTTGTTCAGTTTATCTAATAGCATCGTCCTGTTGCTGTTTAATCGCCGTTAATTGGAGTATAATTCCACTCGTATGTGCACTTAACCATTATGATTTAGTAAACAACTCGCTAGTATTCTGTCGTACTCGTAGTTATATCCTACAGACCTCCGCTCAACCTTTTCGCTGTATACTGGTTTTACGGTGTGCTGATCGCTCTGCTCTATGTAGCTCGAGTGCCTCTATTCGAGCTTTTAGTCAAAGAAAAATTGCATATCGTGCCACTGCTATTGTCATTGTTATTTGGAGTGTGTTGTCGATTCCGCTGCCCATTTGGGCAAGTATAGAGTATAGACAATGTAATGTGTTTGGACTTTATGGACGGATATTCAGCATATATATCACCATTTTCAATAGTTTGCTACCTCTCTCTCTAATGATTGTCTTGAGTGTCTTGATCATAAAGAGTCTACGTCAATGACGTTCGCAAGTTCAACGATTTGGCAACAATCGTCGTTTGAACAAACGAGATAGTTCGTTAATAAAAATAGTATTGGCAGAAGTATTGATTCATATTGCCTGCACGTTCACATTTCCAATAATGTTAATCTATGTCCAGGCAACATCGAGCATGACGTCAAGTAAAACTGCCGATCAAAAACAAATTGAATCGTTTCTTAGTTTTATCACATTATCGTTACTTGCATATTTAAATTATAATACGACGTTCTATATCCTGATGGTCGTACTCAAAGCATTCCGAGAAGAAGTCAAAGAATTAGTGTTGAAGTGTATGCGAAAGTTGAGAAATAATGCCGTAGTTCATGAAGATGAACCAGTTGTAAGAACCAGGACACTAGAAAAACAACATCCACAGCCCACTGCAGCCGTCTGACACCGGAGATCATAGAATGTTACCTGTGACCTTCGAAATTTCCTTTTGGTAAGTTTGAGTTTTTCTTTTATATAAACTAAATAAATGCACAAATATAACTACGGAACCGGTCGTTCAGAGACCATTAGTAACAATTGACTTGTTTGTGTTCGAAGGAAAACTTTCAGCATGCTAAATTAAAGATTTCTTCGGAGAACCATAGAACCTTTCCAATATTATTACCAGATGCAATTATTTATAGATTTTTCAATACTAAAAACTCCCTAAAGCCTACAAAAAAGTACAGATTTCTGGAACTCCAGTGAAAATTTTCAATACTTCAAAAGCATCTCTTGCTTTATCGTACTATTCAAGAAAAAAAAATTACTCTAACATCAAAAATTTGTCACTCATATTATCTGAACTTCAGATAGAATACCGCATTGAACTGATTTTTATTCGATCTCCAAATCATCAACTGTCTTATGAACAGTCTCAAATTTTCCCATGGTTCTAATATGGCCGAATGCTTAGATATCTTTTCTTTTTTCACAAAAAAAAAATACAAGTTTCGTCAGAACAGTCGAAATGAAGAACTACAGATAGACACATGAAAAAATAGTTCGAGGTTAGGTCTTTCAGAGACATAATGACATTTTTTATTTTACACGTATTTTCAGATCATTTTCATCGCCGTTCGCCAGAAAAACAACGGTTTTTTAGCGATTTCTGGATGGAAGGAAAGACCATATCGAAAAAATGAATTTGTTTTTTTGTTGAGATTTATTTCTAAACTGTTTCGAACCGTCAATCTTACAAAGCTCACAACTATCTCTGAACCATTATTAAAATTAATGAAGACTTCTGTTTCACCATCGAAAAACTTTTCCAGCATGCTATCCTACCGTTTAAGGACGATGTGTAACTAGGTGAAAGTAATTCTTCATGAAATCCTAGACAGCTATAGCGTAGAGGTGAAGTCTGTCACAATAGAACTTTCAAGAGTAATTAATGTTTTAAGTTATCATTACGATAAAAAGTTAAACATTGCCACTTTCGCTCAATTGGGTCGTTTTTCAGTCAATAATAGAATTTCATCGAGAGCTATTTTTAATATAAATAATATAAATACTTTTATAGAGTCTTATTATTGATCTCACATAAGTAATTGAACGCTTTGTCATCAACGAAAAATAGTTGCGAAGCGATCTATAGTATCTGGATGCGGATTTTTATTGGATGAATATCTGATAAGAACTCTCACACAGACACGTGCAGCATTGTACAATATGGCCCTGATATGAATATAAATATCCACATTCGCAGTGTCGTATTGAAACTTGGGATACTAGTTTTGCTTTGTACTGTAAAACAACAAATAATTCGAAAACAGTTAAATATTCAGTCTGGAATAAAGCGAGTCACACAGTTAAGAATCAGTTCTATTATTTTGACTGTATTTTTGTATAATTCTACATATGAAACATCATATTATGCAAATTTTCATTCTAGGATAATAAGTACATTCAAATTATTTATTACTAATTCTATTATTTTCCTCAAGCTACCAACAATTTTAGAAGAAAATATTAAAGTATAATTTATATTCGCAATAATCTCTTTCATTTTAATCACTCATTTTTCTTTACGTTGTTTGCTGTATTTATTCTGAATGTTGTTACAGTTTATTGTACTGTTGTCATGCTTTCTGTTTACTTCACTGTTGTTGTTGTCTTCGTTTATGATTTAGATCATCGTAATGTATTTTTCTATTGCTTTTATGTATTTTTCTTGACTTGCATGGTATGCTATTTTCAATAATCAGATCATTAATTTATTACATAAATCTTGAATATTATTATTTATTGTTTCATATTATTCTTAATAGAGGAGCGGTGCACATCAGAAGGAGAAAGGAGAATAATGGATTAAAAGTAACCGATTGACTAATAGTTGATTTGTATTACATGAACAGAACTCAACAACAGATATAGTAAATTGAGAATATGAACAAATATTTTGTTCAAGATTGGACAGAATACACAAAACTAAATTAAGAAAAAGCTGATCATAGCATCTTCAAATGAGGTATTGCATGCAAGTAATGATGTACGGTGCTAAATCGATGTCATCGATTTGACTAATATATTTACAGTTATCAGGTCTGGCAAAATTAGAAGGAAACTGGAAATTTCATCTCAAACAGATGAACTGTTCTGGAGATACAGATAATACAAGCATGAGAGGATATACTACATTTTTGCATTTTTTATGTAATAGTACTTTTCAGTCAACTTTCATGTTCTCAAGAATCATAACACCTACAAGGAAGAATGCGGAGATGGAATTTAATTGATCGTACTTCGTCGTATATTCTTCATATCTTGACTTATATCCAACATGTATGAGGGCTAGAAAACATCGGGAAAAGACAGAGACCCACATTCATTGTAGATCATCATTATTGCTTCTCTATCGGAATCGAAAATGAATTTAGTTGACCCCTTAACAATGTGAGGCATATAGACATGTTTTTTCTAAGATCGACATAGAATAAAAAGTTTAATAGAGAGAAGATGCTTGAGAGAAATGGCATTATATTCTCCTTCCAGTAGTTCAGTGAATGATTCTTTCGAACGTCGTTCCATCGAACGTCAAGTCATTTGTTGAACATGTCACTTCTTATCTTGCCAATAACGAACACAAACTTTATGTCGATTACAATGCTATAGCTCCTGAAACAATAGAATCAACAGTAACACTCTTTCCTTTAAAATTCTTTGTTGATCAAAAATACTTGTCATGTGTTCTATGTTTTATTACGAGAAGAAATTCCAAGTTTAATTTTAGAAAATTTGCTTAAATCGTAACGCAAAAGAAATGCCTAACACTAATGAATTTTGAGATTATTATCAAGAGGTACCTGCCAACAATAATTTCTTAAGAAAAAAGTCATATTTATTCGACAATTTGGTCAGATAAAAAAGATCTACACAAAGGATCATACAATAAAACTTCATCTAAGGATGAAAGCTGGTCTATTGAGTAACTGTGGATATGAACTATCGATCTATGTATGTTCTTTGTCCACACTCGACAAATAATTATATAGCAAGCATTCCTCGATTAGTTTCTTAAATGTTTGAAATTTTGCAGGAAACATACTTTTTGGCCTTTGTCTGTAATCGTAATTTAACGATATGGATTAAAAAATCACTAACTATACAAATAGTTTTAGCATTAATATATTGCAAAAAACAAGATTTTCCTGATGGAATCGATGCACTTTAACATTTATTCTGCCACTGCCATAAGACGTGAGAAGTGTTGGCTACTGCTAAAACTAGAATAATAATTTATGATCATCAAAGCAACTCAAAACTCTAGAATAATCCATTTATTTTTAATTTCAAATACAATGTATATACCACAAAGCATGAGTCATATTTTGTCATGGCTTTCATAGTTTTTAGCTGCCAGTTTCAATTGTTCAAGACTTTCTTTCAGCAATGGATCTTTATAGTTATACGTGACAATACTTAAGCCAGGAAAATTAAACAACAGAAGTTCTTTCAAACTTTCTAATACATGAATACCAGGTGTGTATGTGCCGGATGCATTGTCAAACACCAGCTCCCAATCATCACTACTTCGATTCCAGCCGAATTTAGGGCGAGGATGAAATTGGCCTGCGCAAAGTACATATTCGGAAGCATCAGCTAGTACAACATGTTTACTCACATAGTCAGTAAAACATTTATTATTTGTCTCACTAAATCTCCATGTACTATCATCAATAGTATAAGTGTAGATGCAAGGTTTAATTCGTTGTGTTGTTTTATCCATGAATACTAATTTCCATAACTCGTCGCCATTGTGTAGTACTCCACTTTCATTATGTTTTACAGTTTGCTCATAGAGTGCTCGATGTGCAAGTTTAACCGAAGTTTTTGTAACCAATCCAAGTGGATGTGTACCGAATACGATTTGAGCCAAATCATGATCTCGACTCCAATATTGTCGACCATGTTGACGAAAAAAATATGTACTACGTCTTAGTTGTATTTCAAATGTTGAATAGACATGCTCGTTATTGAGTTTGGTGAATTGACCAGCAATGGTATCATCATGTCGAGAGTATCGGCAAGGACTATCGTTCGTATAACGTGCAAGTTGTTGACTTTCATTATTTGATTTAACTGCGTTAATCGATAAATAAAAGCGACCGCGATCTCGATTTAATATGCCACGGATAGTATGTCCATCTAGATGTGGATGATAATTCACGATATTCAAAATTTTAAATGAACCTATATAATCATCGATAGGCTTTTTGTCGTCTTTATCGTAAACACTGACAGAGAGTTTTGCTGTCGAAGGTATGTTTCGAACGATCCATTCGTGATCGTTCCATTGAGGTGATGCTGTATTGGGCACAATTGTCGATCTAAATTAGTTCGAAAAAAATCTATGTGGTAAATTAGTCTTGAACCTTTCAATGAAGAAATTGAATAATAAAGGTCTTTTTACTCAATGTTCATCGTTTTCATATCGTTTTATCCTATTAATGAACAATATTTTTCAAGGAATCACTTACGTAAATGAAATTTTTTCATCAATGTTTGCTACAAAATATGGATCAGCATGACCAATTAAATCCATTTTTGGTATATTCTAGAGAAAAGAAAGCTCAATGGTAGGAAAAAATACAATAACATTCGTTCTTCTACTTTTGCTGATTGAAATTTAATAAAAACATCGTAACAATCAGAAGGATCATCACGTTGTGATTCCCCTGGATGTAGTAATTGTTTAACAGGGAGAGAAAACGAACACTTAGACATTGGTGTATAAGTCTAGAATAGAAAACATCACAATAAAAGAAACACATAGATTCGATAAGTAATGAAAATGAGTGAATAAATAGCAACCTTATCTTCATATATTTACAAACGAATAAATCGATGTAATGTACTCACGTTTTATTTATTGCTTCGCTTTCTTGTTTTGCTTTATTTGATATTTTTCTTTTGGAAAGCGTGATCAACCATTCGTATCACTGTACATACGAGTAGACGCTTTCCGTTAGCATTGCCAATACCTCATGATAGTATCAGAACGAAAAAGAAAAAACAAACAAACAACAATGTCTTTTTGACTCACACCTATCGTATTCAATGCATTTTATTATTATGATAAAAGATATCCATATTATACATTAAAGTATCTCTCGTTTTCTAAATATCGTTGGCTACACTTAATGAAATATTGACACGGAAATTTTAGGGACAATATACGCAATTATACGCAATAATCAGTAATATACAGTGAACTTTGCGATAAATGAAGGCATTTGATATACTTATACTAGCATTGTAAGATTTTTTAAATGACTGTGGAGTGTTGAATTGAGTTCATTAAGATGTTACTAGACTGTGGTAACAAGACCATGGTCTCGCAAGATTTTCCTCAGTATATTCAGCAATGCATCGAAGAAGAAAATCTCAGATCATTCGTACTTGAGCCGAACTCTAAACAAAATACTAATTTAATCAATGACTGTCACACAATACATACAAGAAATATCCATGTGAATAGTCATCTCTCAATAGGTATCTTCAAGAAGTAAATCATGGTATTTATTTTAAGACCCATAGTCTAGTGTCTCAAGATGTAGTATTCGAAGTAAAATATTCAACAAAACAGTTATTCTATTTTCTTTGATCTCTTATTCGGCGAAATAGCATATTTGTTTAATTTTGATTAGAAAGAAATTTTAATTATATGAAAAGTCTACTTTAATTTCATTACACTCTTTAACTTTCTAAGCGTCTCTCTGTTTATATTTTTAAATTTTATAATAAATCAAAAAGATACGTTATAAATCTGACTGCGTGAAGATACCGGTAGTAAAAGTTTCGGGTCAAATTGAAAATGAAAACTTATAGTAGGATTTCAAATCACCAAAAAATTCGAAATGTTATATATAAACTTCAAATAACAGTACAAAAGAATGAAGTTGAAATGCATGATTCATTATCCAAGGAGGAATTCTCGCGACAAATAATAATAAAATCTTCTTTTAATCATTTGGAAAAATAAAGGTGTACTCGATTTTTAATTATTGAAATATTTATTATTCATACTTCAAGGGAATTTATATATAATTCTGGGTTCATTGTCAGAAAAATATTCTTATGAATTCTTAAAATTTTATTATTTTAATATGAAAGGAAGCAAGTTTTTGTACATGGTCAACAAAGAAATAAATACGGTTTGTAGATTTATTTTTACGATAAACAATAGTTATATATTTGATACTTCAATGTGCAGCAAAATATATCAGAAATCCAAATTTTATAAGAAAGATCTCATTATAAAATTAAATTTAAATAGATTTTGGGAAAAAATCGTTTTTTAATACGAAACATAAATATTAATCGAAATATAAATTCTTCTTTGTTGATTGTCACGAGTACGTGAGGTCTGGAAAAGAAATTTTGTACTTATTTGGATATTGATACTAATAAATTCGTATGTGTAAACAAATTAACTTCATTTGTTGACATTTGATAATACTAAAGGAAAAAAACTGTTATATATCGTGAAGTGTATACGACAGAATTATAATATAAATGTTTATATGAGCTGAGCATTATTGTATAAAAGCTTTTGACAGTTGTCGTAAACTGAATTAAATAAGAATTTTTTATGCAAATTATTCTCTACATGATATCTGAATGATATCAACCTAGTACAATTCATGCGTCATATATTAATGTAAATACTTCTAATTCTAATGAGAATTGGCCAAATACAGACGATGAAAAATGTAATAATTTGATATCGACTTCCATTATCAGTACGATAATACATAGATGAGATAAATATGTAAAGAAAATGAAGATTCGATAAATTTATTTGTAATTGTAACTAATATTATCCTACTTGATTAATAGTTTCATATTTACAATTAAATGGAAGTTGAAAAATGTTTAGAAGAATTAATTACCAGTATGCGTTTTACAGACATAGGTATCTGTTGTATTTGTCTCAAAATGATTTTTACAATAATCAAACGAAATCTCCTTCCATATAATGCATCAAATCGGACTCAAATTTTTTCAATGAATAAAAGAAACATTGGAAAACCTTGAATTTCTCCAGTTTATTATTCTTGATAATTTCATAATGTTCCACAACTCATGGAAACTGAGAGTAGAGAGTGATACTGCTAGATGACTATATTAGTCATAAACTAATTTTTTTTGCATATCTTTATTTTGTTTCAGTTAAGAATAACCTATCTCTACAGTATAATTCTGCTAGTTTGCCGAAGCATTTCTATTTGTACAATTTGAATTGAATATTGAGTAAAATTGATTTATTCAAAATGATTCTTTAGATAGTTCTCATTTATGATCAAATCTCTTTTTATATATACCCGTGGAAAAAAATACTTGCACAAGGTATTTTGGGCATATTGCCACTATAAAAAGGCATTTTTTTTTAAAATAATAACATATTCTGAAATCTCGTGAAATTCTCTATCGTTCTGTATAATTAGGTTTTAGTTTTTGACATTTTCTCAACGAAAAAAGTCGAACACAATGAAGGCACCCTCATGTTCCGATTCCCACAGACTTGAATTTTTCGTATGACCAAAAAAAGTTTTTGAAATTTTTTAACGTTATAAAAGTATCTTTAAAAAAAAATTATTATCGATTCTGATAGAGCTTGACATGCTCTATCATCCTGTATGTGTACTTATTCTCTTACATTCATATATGAAATGATAATATAAAAATACTAAATGTAATCGTAATCGACAAGTAGAAAAAAATATGTTTTTCTCGCTAGTTTTTGTGTACTCAAAAAGTGAGTACACTCTAGAATCGGTCAGTATGTCCGGCCGTTTACACGATAACTTTCGAAAGGAGAGTCAGATCGCGATGAAATTTTTTGCACAGTTCAGTCTTTACAATATCTCGGTCGAGTTCGAAGATGAGAAGGATCCGTCGAGAAATGACTGAGTTATAAAAAAAATTGTAATTTTTGACCAGATCATCC